TTTGTGTAATCTCTGAAGCCTCCGAAATAAATTTCCAACTTTTTTCGATAAATCCTTATATTTTATCTGCTATATTCACAACCCAATTTTTTGTGAAGTCGGTCAGTTTGACCAGCCTTGTAACCACCATAAAATATCCAAAATAAATCAAAATTATCCTTTTTTTCTTTCTTGAGTTACTTCAAATTGTAGTAGAAAACTACATTTGTTTACACGAAATAACTTATAGCTCTTAATATTATACATCTGTTTCTAATTAGATTTTATTGTCAAGACTGTCAAACTTTGTAGCAAACCGTTGGTGAAACTTTTTTATCTAGATACGCATCGTATCGCGGCATGAATATCTAGATATGTATCGTGTCAGCCCTAGTTGTTTGGGATCTGTGCCTAAGAAAATTAAAAGAAAAAACAACGCTGCAAGAAAGCTGTAAGAAGTTTAAAAGGTCCCAACAATGAGAACTGTTTTTTCGTGCTTAAAGTAACAAATATTATCCTTCCATCGTCTTTTAATTCTACAATAGTCATGAAGCCCTAAAAAATATTAGTCTTAATTTTTAAGAAAGCTTTCAGTATGATTTTGCAATAAAATAAATAAACTCACTGTTCAATTTTTATTATAGTTATTTAGACAAGCCACTATATTATCCAGTGTCGTTCTAGTTATAATGAAAATATCTCGGTCTACCAGATACAATTTTGATGGGCAAATTAGCCACCGACATTCTTGCACAACAACATTTTGACTTTCATCATTAACATCAAGAATAAACTATTTTTCTAAATTTTTCAGTTTAAAGACATTTTGTGTTTAAAAAATAGTTCATAGATGGCATACTTTGTGATACAAAAAAATTAATTTTTATAATATGTGCTGATAAGTGGGAATATATTTTCATCTTATAAACGTTCCTGCGGATCTAAGTCTAATATTACTGGGACTCTGCTTTGGGTAAGAGAGCAAAACGTTATATGTAGAAAATGTCACAAGACAAACAGATGTACTTTTAAAAACATTTCCTATTTTTAGAATATTACGTCTTTGGGAGGATGACTGATTTTCTTAGTATCCTTGGTGATCTCCACTCTATAGAAGTTGTCCAAATATGCCTCTAGAATTTACAGTATGACACATAACACAGAAAGTTGTTTATTTAATTTTATTTTTTAAAGTTTTTCTTTGAAATATGTAAATTTTAAGATATTTGGTTATTTTCTGTATCCGGTGGCCGTTTCATGATGACTTGTCGACGTATATAAATAATACAACTTAATAATGTAGCTTAATCATAACTTATCCTTAAGCAATAACCCTGATTTTGTTTCCAATTAAAATGTTTACTTATACAATGAATGCGATATTGAAATACATATATTAATCTTACTAATGGTTCATACGGATCCAAGTCTAGTTTTCTAGAATCATCTTAAAGAATAATAAAATAGAAGGTTAGATTGAAAAAAAAATGATTTTCATCTTTGTGTTTTATCAAAACGTGTGTTATATACAAAATTATGCGCAAACACACAAATTGTATGGGAATATAACTAATACAAGTTAAATCATTCTAATATATTTTATGAAGTTCACGTAATAAGCACTTATTCAAATGTGTTTCTTGAAAATGGAATAAGATTACCATTGAAGTAACATCACATTTGTTTAAGTGCTTAGAGGAAATGATGTTATTAACCATACAGTATCTCCAAAATAATTCGACAATGCAATTTATTCACGAGTATTGAATATGTATCTCCAAGTTATCCCTTTTAGCATATGTAAATTTGTTGGTTAAAAAAATTATGACATTAATAAACTAACTATAATGCTTAAATTCATATACAATCAACTCGTTCTTACCCAGTGGCTCAGCAGTATGCTGTAAAATTTAAGACTTATAACGTTCGATTCCCTCGGCGGGTACAGCATATATAGCCCATGGTGCAGTTTTAGGCTAAGACAAAGAAACAAACACGTTCACTCCTTCATTGCGACTTTTTTGTACTATTGACATTTCAAATTAAATTAAGGATAAAAAATATCAGAATTGTGTTTTGTTTTAAGGTTAACACAAAATTAATTGTAAACCCAATACTGAGCTGGATATCGTAATGCTTTTCGGAAATGGTACGTATGATTAATCACTTTTATGTTCTATGATCCGAACCATTACACCTAAACATCTATTGTCTTTTCTTGACGGATTTTGATAACATTTCCAGCATCATGTAAATGTGCAGATGACGATGAGAATGCTGTAACCTGTATATTAGACAATATTTGTTTTAGTTGAATATATTTTTCCATTAATTGCTTCTAATATATTATTCTGATAGCTTGTAATTATGAATAGATCCGCATCTGCGTCATCACGTATAAAAGGGTTACCGTAGAAGGTACTCTATGTTGATTAAGAAAAAAAACCCAAAAAAACATACACGTCATCTCCTCATTTATACGATACATTAACCTCGAGCGTAAACTATGACTTTTGGCTATTGAACAAAACATGTGTGGTCGGATTTTATTGTTGAATTAATTACCAAATGTTTAAATCTTAACTTTAAAAAAAATGTGATTCAACATGTTTTTTGTGTGTTAAGACTGGTGACACTATGCTTTTAGTATGTAGTGCTCTGCAGACTGATAGATATATCGCTTTTATGTATTTTTGACTTACTTATATAATGATGAAGTGTTTCAACATAAGAAAGTGCTTCCCTTTCTTTCTTTTCTTCTTTGTTTTTTATTTTTTGAGGATGTTCTGCTATCACCATTTTATTCGCGTAATCGCTTGCCTTGTGAACTGACTAGCTAGGTTATCCATTGCGGAAAACCATATAATGATTGCGTCATGGTGAGGTCAGGCACGTGCTGTTTCTCGCAATGCGCAAGCTATAAATACTTCGGTCTCCATTATTGTATAATGAGGATTAGGACTTTTTTGTATCTGTCTGGAAATTATCGAATTTATCTAAATTTTAAACCTAATATCAGAAATTCACACAAAAAACTCTCGATATCAAAATAGGATATTTTTTAAATTGTGGGTAATAAAAATAAAATTGGCAAATAAAAATGTATGTTTAATATAAAGAATGATAAAAATATTTTAATTAAATATATTTAGAAAATTAAAAGTTAAAAATTGTAAAATTCTATCTGTTTATACATGAGAGCTAAAACTGATTAGTACAATGTATTAATTTATTAAAAGCAGGCTGTTAGTATTAGGCCTACTATATTTTTAACACTACATACTGTTGCGTCATCGAGATCATGTGATTCTCACGCTCTCTACTTTCTAGAATTATTCTGTACTTTGGCGAATGTTCTAGTTCTTACTAGATATAGGGTAGGCGGGTATATATAAGAGGGGACAACGTGACGCGGGAATGTAATGTGTGCGTAGATAGTGAGTAATTGATCTGCAGTCAGAAGTATTATTGAGCACGTTCGTCGTTATAGCGTTTGTTTAGCGCGATTGTTGAAGTTGAGTGTATCGGTAAAGTTGTATTCGGAAAGAATAAACCAGTTTTTATTAAGAAAGAACTTGTGTCGCTTAAGTTTCGTCGGAACGAAGTTACGGAAAGTTAATTAACAAACGGAGACGTAACAATACTTTATTCAATCACTTAATGGTTTTCAAAATTAAGAAAAGTATAATAGTATTTCAACCACACTGTGTCCGTCATATCCATCGCCGACGATGTGTTTCGTGTTTCGCTCTAACAGAGCTCATTAGGCCGACTGGGACAAAAACATAGTATTGGTCGGAACACTACATATATATATATATATATATATAAGTCATTTGTTACAACAAAAGTTGTTACGCCTTTTCTAAGCTACAAAAGACGTTCACATCATAACATTTGTCATTGTAACAAATGGCATATATGTAAATAGTACGTTAACAACTGCTATGTTCATTATGGCCCAAACAACCTGATGAGTTATTTATTGAGCTAAACGCGTCGTCAATAACGGATATGGCGGACACAGCGTGGTTGAAGTACTATTATACTCTTCTCCTTCTTGAAAACCATTAAGTGACTGAAAAAAGTATGTAGTGTTAAAACATAATATACAGAATACTAATGTCTTATAGCAAGTATAATTAATTATAATCATGTTTCGACAGCTTAGAAAAACATTCCGACCACCACAATTGTTGAATTAACAACAGGCTTTAAATGATACAAATTAAACTATCTTTTTACACAGAAATAATAAAAGCAGTTCTCTAATCACAACTAATCAACATAGCATGTTTTTCTGGTTTGTTTATTTTTTTACGTGCGTAAAAGTACATGTATTCTGTATAAGCTATAATCATGTCTTTGTCATGGGTTGAACGCCCACATTATGTACATAACATATTGGAAAGTAGGTTGAGGAAGCTGCCAGGTAAGTTTCATTGTTTGATCATGCAAGTTACTTGTACTGAGCTAACTAAAATGTTCTGTGTTATGAAAACTGGAAAGAAGTTATTATTTAGCATAAATCATTAGAATTTATTAATTTTTCGTTTTTCTTTTAAACGATTGAAACAATAGAAACAATGCAAGTTTCAGCCAGCTATATTCTTGTTAGCGAAACCCAAAGACTTTCATCATAGCTTCTTGATCTGTTTAAAGCTTATTATTATTCAAATAATTCCCAAGGTTCCATTTCAAGCGCTTATTTTATGACTCTTCGTGATTCAACCGACGATGTATTTCCAACTTGATTACACTATCACGCAGACATCACGTGCATCTAAATGTCGCATGTTAAAGCACTTTTATTTAAAACAAGTATGCATTAAACTTTAATGTCAATTTCGTACTATATCACTTCTCTCTATTTTTTACGTTTAAAAAAAACAACAAAAAACAAACCCTTATTGGCTTAATAAGTATTCTGTCCTGCCTATGGCTTAATAAGTATCCTGTCCTGCCTATGTATGATTTAAGTGAAAGGTTTCTTGAGATATCGGGTTTCGTGTGCGTACTATTTCTCCTCACACGCGCATCTCGAACGATTATCATCCTTCTAGATTATTGGCAAAGGGTGACTCAGTAAAGTTCGACCAAAGCGCCACTTGCGGTGATTTTTTTAGCATGCTCTAACTAAACAGCACGCAGAGTAAAAGGTTGCACGAAGAATCGCGGTTCTTTCTCTTACATTTCACGGCCCTCTTATTTACAAAAATGGGTGGTTTTTTATCCAAGTTTCGTTGGAAAAAACAGGAGTTTGGTGAAGGTAGGTCTTCTTAGATCTCGCATATTTATCGATGGCTGGTTTCCTTATATATATGTGTGAATTTTAATTTTCAAATTATAGTGGATTAAGCAAGACGTATTACCAAGTAGACAACTTTTAATAAGCAATTAGAAAAGACATTCAGTCGTATTTTTTTACTTAGTTTGCCATTTACAGGGATGATTAAAAAGTGAAATATTAGTAGAATAAATAGCATACGTTCTTATGTTGTTATTTTTTAATAGGTATTGATATGGTTTAGCGTGTAAAACTTGCATATACTTGCTATATAAAAGTAGCGTAAAGAAAATATTATATTTCTACTATAACTTCCAACCTTGTGCTGTACTGTCTAGTATTAATTTGTGTTTGTAATATCTTTCACAACGTCGCTACTCTAATCAAAAAGTTACCTTATCGGTTTCATGGAGCCGGTCTTGGCATAGCGGTTAGGACACCAAGACTATGAATCCAAGGATTCATGGTTCGCAGCTCGTTGCCGCAAAAATGCTATCCGCTCTAACAATGACGTCCAATTCCACTATTCGTTCAAACAAACGTTGGCTGTGGGTGCTGTTAACTAGCTGCGTTCTATTTAGCCTATCAGTTTCAAATTAGGTAGGGCTTATTCGAAGCTTTTCTTACAACACATACCTATAGTTCAACACAACCCGCTCCATAGGTACGAGAGGGGATTTAAACCCACTTTAATTTTCACGTATCATCTTAAACCCAAACGATCTTTATATGGTGTTTGATCTTGCATATGAGCATTTTACTATGGAAGATGTTACGTTCCTTATTTTACAAGATACTCTCTTTTTAAGGAAAAGTATTTGTCCAGTACCTACAACACTACAGTAGCATTCACTTTTTCCAGAGTTCTCTGTATTTGTTTGCCCCCTCGTTTACAAAAGCAGTATCTTAAATGGACAGTATTTGACCGTTTCCTTTCCTACAGATGTCATCAATAATGGCTGGAGACGGCTTGAATGGATAATGAAGAAAAACTTTAATATAAGTTTAACATAACAGCAAATGTACAACGTTTCGACAAGGTTTTGTCATCATCAGGTACCTTGTCGAAACGTTGT